CTATAAGCAAGTACAGAACCAAGCCGCTCTGCGAGCCCAGCCCTGGAGCACTCGTACTGAGGGCTCCTGTAAGCATAAGCCAATAATGAGACCCAAGCCGTTTAGGCTGAGGACTACATAACATAACCCATATCACCAATAGAAATCCCGCTGGACCAAGCCCAGGAAGAGGCCATTCCTCTGGTGGAGTGGGCCCTCACACCTATAGGGAACTGCAAGCCCGCTGAGACATAAGCCAAGGCTATTGCATCCACTATCCAGTGATAGTGGATGCATAGTTAATAGTCTCTGCTTCGTAACCTGCAGCCCTTTAGAGCGGCCTCTGAAGTATGCAAAGGCGCTGCTCTGAGTGTCTAAACAGGCCAGAGTGCTCGACATACACTTTAAGAGCCCGAACTGGGCAGAGTAGATTGGGACTCACCATCACCATCTGGATTGGGGAGCTCTAGAAGGGTGATGACTTGTGCTCTAAACACCGTGTCTTGGTTCGAGGACAACTCTACAGTCGTTAGGCAGTGTTTCCAAGACAGGAAGCACTGACAGTACTTGCAGGTAACCCACTCGCTAAAGCCAAAAGGAGGCCGGGCTGCCGATAGCAGCTGAATCAACTTGGGGAACCACATCTGATTCCTCCAGAGTGGGGCCACCAGGAGGACTGAGCAACTGACTTCCCTGACCCATCTGATGACCTGTGGGCAACCGGGGGAAGGTGTACAGGCGAGCGCTGGGCCAATCTTGGGCCAGGGCATTTTGCTGTCTCGAAAAGTAGTTTGGGCAGTGAAAGTTGTCTTCTGAGGGTGAAGAGGTCCACCTCTGCCTTCCCAAAGACAGACCACATAATTTGAACCGTTTGGGGATGTAGTCTCCATTCTCCTGGAGCTACATTGTCCCAGGACAGCATGTCTGCTGTAATGTGAAAGTAAACATCTTTCAGATCCACTGACAGAAACCAGTCCTCGGGACATACTTGCGTGAGGATCTGTTTCAAAGTTAGCATCTTGAACTGACATTCGTAGTAATGAGGAGAGGACAAATGCTCTTTTGAGTATTTGGTTCCGCTATCACAGTGGTAGTTTGCTTGGGCGCCCACTGAATGAGAAGAGCGGGCACAGCTTGAATGGAGCTTCCATCTCTCAGTGTTAAGTGGAGGGATGGAGAGAGAGCGCAAGCTTTCTTGGAGGGAGTTCCGGCCTCAGCAAAAACTGACCCTCTCCTCTTCCTCTCTGCATTCGGATCTGGACGGCTTCTGAGGCTCAGAGGCTGGGTTTCGGGCTCTTTGCTGGAACATGCCCACTCTTCAGCATCCGAAGCTATTAATGACATGGAGTTATCAATGACGAGTTATCAACGTTGCATTCCGGGGGTGAAATGAGAACAAATGAGAGAAACCAAATAATGAGCAGACACATAGACACAATTAATGTAGCGGCGCACCGCTTACGATTCGCTCTTCTTTGTTAACGTTGTAAAAATGAGCGAATGCAACTGACTGTTGTTCATGTGCATGTCTACACAATGCCTGCAGTCTACAATGATGCAGCATCACGAGACGCTGCGCACGCGCTCGCCGGCCTGTGACATTTGAACAATCGCAAATGTCAGACAGGTCCTCGCGCATCCTGAGCTGGAGTGTGACCTCCGCCCTCACCTTGTTATCAGTGGTCAGCAGACCATTTCGGAGGCCGTCCGGAACATCTGAATCCATGACAACACGCTTAGCAAATAGGTTGCTTAGCAACTAATCCAAAGAGCGCCGAGCGGCCTATCAGTAGTGACAGTGTTAGCCAATTAACAGATACTTACTCTGAAGATGCTTATTTTGCTCTCTGATCTGCGACGACCGAGACATGCTGATTTAAAATATGCCTGACTGGCATTAATGGACAAAACAAGCCTCGTTTTATTACCTGCGCAAACAAACATCAGCAGCCATATTGAATTGTGTAAGCATAGCTCTCATTTTCTGGATTCACTGAATAGATTGCGTACATAACTGGATTAATTATCAATTATGACTCTAAATGCAATGTGCCGGATGAGATATACTGATTGTGATTGGTACGTTCACGATTTTAAAAAGCCATCATTCGAATAACAAATTACAAACAGCTTCTAGGAATGAAAAATACCAAGAATTATCATAGACTACACTTTATTGTCGTACATTTTTGGGAAGAATGAATACATGTAGTCTCTTGACGTTCTAGGAAAATGAGTAAGTAGGCTATCTGATTTTATTGTGATGATGTGATTGTAACTTTAGACTTACTTATCTGGTATTAAGTTGGTCCTTCTGGTGTCGGGGGAAATTAGAAGTGCACTTTTCAAAATGATCAATAGAGGGCTGCCTTTCATTACAATATCTATGTCTATGAAAAAAAAACATCCTCAGCTTTCATAAAGAATTGGTTTTTTTTTATGAAAATGTTTTGGATCAGATGGGAAAAACGATGGATTAAATGGATGAAAACTTACAGTAAAGACATTTATGATACAAAAGATTTCTCTTTCAAATAAATGCTGTTCTTTTGAAGTTTCTATTCATCAAAGAATCCTGTAAAAATGTATCATGGTTTCCATAAAAATATTAAGCAGCACAACTGTTTTCAACATTGATAACAATAAATGTTTCTTGAGCACCAAATCAGCATATTAGAATGATTTCTGAAGAATCATGTGACACTGAAGACTGGAGTAATGACTGCTGAAAAGTCAGGTTTGACATAACGGGAATAAAAAAAAAAAGTAATATATATTTGAATAGGAAAAAAGCATTTAAAATTGTAATAATATTTCACAATATTATTGTTTTTACTGTATTTTTGATTAAATACAGTCTGGTGAGCATTAAAAAAACCCTTTGAACGGCAATGTAAAAATTTAGAATGGTTATTACCTCAGCTTTCATAAAGAATTGGTTTTTTTTTATGAAAATGTTTTGGATCAGATGGGAAAAACGATGGATTAAATGGATGAAAACTTACAGTAAAGACATTTATGATACAAAAGATTTCTCTTTCAAATAAATGCTGTTCTTTTGAAGTTTCTATTCATCAAAGAATCCTGTAAAAATGTATCATGGTTTCCATAAAAATATTAAGCAGCACAACTGTTTTCAACATTGATAACAATAAATGTTTCTTGAGCACCAAATCAGCATATTAGAATGATTTCTGAAGAATCATGTGACACTGAAGACTGGAGTAATGACTGCTGAAAAGTCAGGTTTGACATAACGGGAATTAAAAAAAAAGTAATATATATTTGAATAGGAAAAAAGTATTTAAAATTGTAATAATATTTCACAATATTATTGTTTTTACTGTATTTTTGATTAAATACAGTCTGGTGAGCATTAAAAAAACCCTTTGAACGGCAATGTAAAAATTTAGAATGGTTATTATTTGAAATAATATTTAAAATGTCTCATACTGGCATAAGTGTATTGACTAAACCCTTGTATAAATAAAAAGTGAGACTATTTTGGTCAGTGGACAAAATTGCATTATACAAATATGCTGCACATGGTCGACTGAAAAAAATAACTCACCCAAACTCTGCTGTGGTAAAACCACGACTCTAACACTCTGCTCAACAGACAAAACAAAAACACATCAACACTCTCAGAAAAAAAAAAAAGATACAAAACTGTCACTGGGGCGGTACCCTTTTAAAACATTTTAGGTAATAAAATAGCTTTAAGGTACTAATATGTACTATTTAGGGGTAAACAAGGTACAACAAAGTACCGTTTAACTTTTGTTCCTTAGGTTTCCGCCCCAGTGACAGCGGTGTAGCTTTTTTCTGAGAGTGAAACATAATGACAGTAGGAGCTTTGGGATGCCAACTAGGATGTGTTTGAAAAGTAAATTTCATATGAATACAATATATTTGTGCAACATTAAAACATGACAAGGCAAACCATCTTATAGAGAATAAAAACTTGAGGATATAAACCATTGTCAAGATCCACTGGAATTTGGAAATACAGACTTTTCTATTTTGTTATGCACAACTTAAAACAACATGCAGAGTAAAATAACACATAACTGTTTTCATTCTGAAAGTCACATTCCTTTTCTGCTATGACAGTTATGAAAGAAGAGGGCTGTCCAAAAGGGCACAGTTTTTATCCAATTAAAAACTGGGACAGAATCCAGACATACTGGCACCATCATGGCCATCTTTTGGTACATATTCTGTTTCCATTTTTTTTTTCCATGTACAAAAAAAAAAATTATTTCAAAGTTGCCAAAACACCCTTAAAGAAAGGATGAGACGTGTTAAATATTAAGACGAAGTAGTTCAATCTATATTTATTATATCTTCTTTTCTGTTTGCTTGTCTTTTTGTAATCCAAAATATCACTTTTGTAAAATCAAAAAACGCAACAGGAACGCTAAGATTTCAAGACACATTTTTATCATTGAAACTACCATTAAAGAGTATTTACACAACAGAATAAATGCTATTTAAGTGTAATTATCATCACTTAATATTAATATACAGTTTTATTAGTTAAAAAAGAGGTAGGGTGAAACTGCTTAATTTCAGATGTTCGCAACAACCCAGAAATGAGTCATTTCCATGATCCAACACAAAGATGATGACAATAATCAACGTACACTGTAATTAAACCCACTGCCCATCTATCATTGACAGAAGCTTGACAGCAAAAAAACAAAATAAAAATAAAATACAAAATCAATCACTGAACATCATTCATATTTGAGTCACCGAATGAGAGCAAACGCAAGGATAAAAGAGAGAAATTGAGCGTGATGGACAATATTAAGTGTAAAAAATGAGAGGAGGAAAAGACAAAGCAAGAGAGAGTGACCGGGACTGAGGTCCGAGAGGTTTTTAAGGCACCATCAACAGCTGTATGGAGACAGAATACTGGAAAGTGCTTGTATGATGTTCTCTGTGCATCTCAGATGGAAGTCTAAAACCAACTCGACATAAAATCACGCTATAACTATTATCAGGAAAACTTTCGATTCTTTTCTATGCAGCATTTACTCCATTAAGAGCGTTTATAACATCAGGATCAATTTGCTGTTCTAAGAAAACCATTTATCTCCAGTGAAGACATCTGTCCAGCTTTACCAACGAAAGTATTATTCTGAAAGTTGAGGAAGCAAATTTAAGTGAGCTATGTAACAGCGAGAAGACAAAGAGGGTGGATAATCTTCAAGTCTGCATCTCTGTTGAACACAACATGGGAATAGCTTAAAACGGATTTCTTTTGTAGTAAAAAAAAAATGCATAATTGCTATCTTGGCAATAAGGGTATCTTTTAAAAAAAAAATGTTTAAAGAACATCGAGAATCCTCCAAAAGTGAAATAGCTAGTGATTTCTAAATCTAATTTTTGCATTTTCTGAGTTTCATTGTACGAAAACCAGGATCATGTGCAGAACTGCTGGTTCAGAATCCCAGATACGATCATTAGATCACCTCAAATGAAGTTTCCTTCATTTATCAATGTACTGCCAGGTGATGCTTTAACAACATTACAATCAATCGAATGCAAACCCTGCTGAGGCACCAACAAAGATATTTGGCATCTCAAAGTGTGGTAAAATGAAGGAGGAACTAATAAAAAAAAAACTGTGGCAACCAAATCCAAAATTTAAGGATTGCCTCAAAAGTCGAAAGGTCAGATGTGATATGTATTTGTATAATGTATTGGCAACACTGTGTTCTGCTATATTGATGAACATCTAAGTGTTGTGGAACAGGACTGTGGTTGGTCTGTAGGGGGCAGTGATGAGAACAGTGTGTATATTAATGCACGCCGTTCATTATGCGTTTCTGGTGGATCTCCAGAGTATTACTGTCCTCTTCGTTGTGCTGGGAAGGGTTCACGTCTTCTTCCCAAAGCTGAGCAGCTTTACGGATCTCATCCAGAGTGTACTCCTGCAGGATGGTCCCGTTTTCAAACACAGTCACCAACATGTCCTACAAAAGAAGATCATATTAATGAGAATCACCAACTAGGACGATCACTGTTTATATTTTTACATATTAACAACTGTTCAAAAATTGCTGGTCAGTAAGATTTTTTTAAAGAAATTAATACTTTTATTCAGCAAGGGTGCATTCAATTGATCAAAAACTGACAATGAATACATTTATATTGTAATAAAATACTTCTGTTTTAAACAAATGCTGTTCTTTTGAACTTCGTATTTATCAGTGAATCCTAAAATAAAATGTTCACGGTGTCATCAAAAATATTAAGCAGCACAACTGTTTTCATCATTGATAATAATAAAAAAAAATGTTTAAAAAGAAAACGTGTCAATAAATGCAAAAAAAGTGGTAGTATGAATAATCTTTGGGAACAATCTATGAAATAATGGGTTAAGAGCAGGTATACAGCTGATCTAACCTCCTCTGGTTTGCCTGCTCCTCTTTCCACCGTCTCAATGAAGCCATCTGAGTTTCTCCTCAGAGAGAGACGACCACGCTTGGATCCTTTAGATGGGTCCGTCACTGGCTGCTTATAGACATCCATCTACGCAAACACAAATGACATGATAATAAAAGAAACAAATAGCAATACAGCTCAAATGTACTTTTTGAACTTGTTTAAACAACTCACGCCTTTGCCATTGGTCTCCACATAGCTGCACTTAAATGCACAGTTAAGCGTGTCTCTGTTGATTTTCTGCAGGAGTGCACTTCCGCAACCGAAAAACATATTTTCTGCACTCCAACCTTCATCGCTCAGTTTCTCCAGAATCTGCACTAGCCAAAAAAACAAAAAAATATTGTAATGCTGACGAGAGTATGATCACTGATTTACCACTGTGTAATCAATAATAATGTTTAGAATCAAGCAGTCATAATAAATAGTTGATAAACATTCAGAGCCAGTATCACGTTGTCCCTGTACTAGTTGTATGAGTGCACCTACAGTGAGGTCCAAAAGTCTGAAACCAAAGTGAAAATGCTTCTCATTTGCATTTCTGTAATTTAATACATTCATTACTCATAACAACTTGATTTGCATTTAATTTGTGAAAAAAAATGGCATAATGTGTGTGTTAATTGAAAAATTGACATGGATTTCTGAATATATTATTTGTTTTGTTGTTTTGCTTTATTGGTAGTAGTGCTCAAGTTAGCTTTTTTTTGTAAATCCCAAATAGATTTATAGAGGATTTGATCCAAAGAGCATCTTGTGCTTCAATTAAATTAAGAACATTTGACTCTCTGTATGAAGGAGTTCACATGATCAATGTCACAAATTTGATTAGGGACGTTTAAATAGTGCAGAATATTTATTTTATTTGTTACTTACAGTTTTAAATTACTTCTGTTTTTTACATTTCAGACTTTTGGACCACACTGTAAATCACACTGAAACAAATATTGATTATTGCAGTACACACTGTACACTACCATTCAAAAGTTTGGGGTTGGTAAGATTTTTTTTTATTTTTATATTTTTGAAAGAAGTCTCTTATACTCAGCAAGGTTGCATTTATGTAATAAAAAATGCCTTAAAATAGTTAAAAACAGATATAATAAAATGTATAAATAATAATAATAATAATACAATTTGCAATAACTGCTTTCTATTGTAATATATTTTAACAATTCATTCCTGTGATGGCAAAGCTGAATTTTCAGCAGCCATTACTCCAGTCTTCAGTGTCACATGATCCTTCAGAAATCATTTCAGTATGCTTTTTGCTGCTCAAGACATATCTTATAATTATCAATGTTAAAAACAGTTGTTTTGCTTAATATTTTTGTGAAACCTACTTAATTTTGTTCAGAATACTTTGATGAATAGAAATTTTAAAAGAACAGTAAACTTTACTGTCACTTTCAATCAATTTAGTGCATCCCTGTTGAATAAATTATTTTAAAAATCTTACTGACCCCAAACTTTTGAATTGTAGTGTATGTTTTCTCTCTTGATCTGAGGTTAGTTTACCTCATTAATCGAGTTCAGATCAATTCCATCCCCCTGGATAATGCGCAGGTATGATGGGAGCACCTTGTAACCAACTGAGTTCAGAGAACATCCAAAACACTCCTCCAAAATCTTTATCACCTAAAAGTGAGACAGAAGAGACAAATGAAGTAGGGAAGAAAATAAAAATTAAAGGCAAAAAGTGTGATAAAGCCAGCTAATCAACTCCACTATTTAATTCATCAAATACGTACAAGCAACAAACTAATCTGAAAGACATGCTATACCACATTATATAAAAAGAAAATCGATATTCTAGGGAAGGGGTCTCTAAACTCGGTCCTGGAGGGCCAGTGTCCTTCAGAGTTTAGCTCCAACCCTAATTAAACACACCTAAACCAGCTAATTAAGGTCTTACTAGGCATACTAGAAACTTCAAGGTAGGTGTTTTGAGGCAAGTTGGAGCTAAACTTAGCAGGACACCGGCCCTCCAGGACTGAGTTTGGAGAACCCTGTTCTACATTGCTTTCATACAGGCATCAAAGCAACGGATGCAATCTGCAAATCCTACAAGCCCTGTAAGTCACAATGTAGCACAGTGCTGGAGACAGCTTTAAGCAAAGCCATTTGTTTGAGCCTTTACTAAACTAAAATACATTTCAATCACTGAAACAGCTGCCTTAAGGTCTGTAGTGAACACTACTCCACTTAGAACACAATTGGTACATGATACACACACCTCTAAGAGCATCTGAGCGGGGTCCCCAGAGTCTGGACGAATAATAAGGGCAGAATCCTCACTCCTCTCCATCACTCTCTCCTTCAGCTTGTCCCCCCAGATGTGCTTACAAGCCTTAAAAATGTCATAACTGTCGCTAACCACAGCTACAGGCCCAGAGGGAAACTGGTCCAGCAGACACTCAAACGCATCTTTCTCTCGGCTCTTGCCCCAGGAGATGATAGTGCTACAGAGACATGAAAAACAAAGTGTGACAAACCTTCTTCAAATGATCTACAACACTAATTAGTGAAGTCCCACCCACTCCTGCTTTATTTATTTTGAAGGTGCATAAGGCCAAGACTAAAATAAACGGGTTTCATTTTGCTAAAGAAGACTTAGAAAGAAACATTTGCAGCAAATGATTCATTCGTGTCTAACGATCCGTAGCCGTAGAGCTAAAAAAAAACAATCACGGAGTGATTCACGAAATGGTTGAAAAACTTACATTTGAACTTGGAAAGATGTTACAGAAGCAGTCGTGTGATTTGAAATAAAGAGTGAGAGAGAGCTATACTGGGAAATGCACTCAACCACACAGACAAAAGGCGCTACAGCTGCGAGATGCATAAATGTGTAGCTACTAATAGAACAAATTAGAATCAATGGAACAAATGCAAATTAACACACAGGTGTTTAACGTCAGCGCTGAATTTCCAAGACATAGGCTGTTTGAAACTGAAGACAGCTGTCTAACTGACTCGCTGCCCAGTCCGTCTTAAAGGGAAAATCTGTACTAATTTCCATGCAATCACGATGAATATGATGAAGCTTTCAAGCTACTAAAGAACACAAAAAGTGGTCCATACAAATTGTTCACTATATTCCAAGTCTTTTGAAGCCATATAATACCGGTAGTTGTGTGTGATGAACAGACCAAAAGTTAAGCTGTTAATGACTCAAAATCTTGACGTCTGCTCTAACGCCCCTTGGCAGGTTCATGAGAGTTCAGGAGATTTGTGAATTCTCCATTTCAACTCACCTAATCTGGTCACAATGAACAACAGCTCATGGAATGGGAATAATGAGTTAAATTTCTCTCTGTTAATTACACAAACTCTATATCATCATGAGGTTTCAGACTCGGAATACAGCACATAATCACATAAACCTCTTGTATAGAGTTTCTGTGTTATTCTTTGAAGTTTTGAAAGTTCCAGTCCCCATTCATTGTAATTGCATGGAAAAAAGCAACCATAGTCTTCAAAATATTTCCTGTTTCAGGGAAGAAAGAAAGTCATATGGATTTGGAGTGAAAGAAGGGTAAGTTGTAAGGGTATATGGGTAATGATTTTCAATGGTTTTAAACAGAATTGTTTAATTAATTAATTTTATGATCTAAACTAAAACTGGTTTCAGACAGCCTTCCAAGGCACTGTTGTATCAAGTTTAATAATCTAAAACTGTTTTATTTTATTATTATTTAGTATATAAATTCTATTATAGTATATATTAATATTTTGAGTTAGCTTTTATATTTTTTTTTTTCAGTTTTCTTTTTAATTTTAGTATTTTTTGTGCTTGTCATTTTTATTAGTGTTTGTTTTTTTAATATTTCGATATAACAATTAACAAACTTTCAGCTGAGCAGGTTTTAGGCAGGATGAAATTTGATCATGCCTTGACGAAATAAGTGTGCAGTAAGTACATGTGCATTACCTGTGTTCTGCAGCAGGAATGGAGAATCCAGCCATAGGACATCCGTAGTATCGCTGTGCCATCAGCAGACCTGCCACTGTATCTGTGCTGCAGAAATTCACCAGATGAGCAGCTCCACCAAGTGCTGCCGACTATTTCAGTAAAGAGAGAAAGAACACCGCAGAAATGAGCCAATGAACCGGTTTAATGTCAAACCCACAGTCCCTGAAGTCTTTATTGTACATTGAAATCCAAAAGATCAAATGTTGTGATTTCTCTCACGCCATTTAAAACATTAGCCAATTCCCATTATGTTGATCTTGTTTTAGTAACTGAATTATAGACAGTGGCTTTTAAGAAGCAAATCATAAGAGATTTTGACTGTTCAATTGTGTCAAAAAGACATTTTCTATATTCCCCTGATTTAACGCTCATGTTATTGAGTCTGTCTCAGTTCATTCATCGCAGGGTCACAGTAATCAGGGGGGATTTGCCCTTTAGTGATAGTCAAGGGAAGGTTGTTGCTTTAAAAAGTGAACACGTTTAATTCCAAGCAAAATCTCTTTAGCCCCCTGAGGAGAGCACCAATATTTATTGCTCTACTACAATGTGTATATTTACGTGAGAATTTGAGGAGTCTATTTTGTTATTCTTTCTTCTTTTTTTTTATTTTTTTATTTTAAGAACTGATGAGATCTGGGCTTGATATCATCTCAGGGAAATCAGATCCGTAACAAGGCTTTAGTCTGCAGCTGTGATTGTAGCAAGGATCTAGGGACCTCATCATGTAATTGTCAATGCAGTAGAGAGGCACAGCGCAGCACAATATGATGGATCAATGATGGATCAGCACAAATACCAGTGTTATTTTAGTATTATTTATACACTATTTATATACTAATTTTTTTAACATTTTGAAATAGCTTTTATTTTTGTATTTTCGATTTTAATTTTAATTTCAGTTTAATTGATATTAATTTTGTGCTTTTGTCATTTTTCAGTTTTTTTTATATTCTACTTATTATTCTATTTAAACTTAAAATATAGCACACAACTTGTATGGAGTACTTTTATAATGTTTTTAAGGTACTTCACTTTTTCTACTTAAAAACAAGCCATATGGGTTTAAAAGGATTTGAGGGTGAGTAAATGATGACAGAACTTTCACTTGTGAACCACTCCTTTAAAAGCATTCAAATCTATCACTGCTTGTCCCCTGATCAGAAGAGAGTGATGAAGGAGAGTGAACAGGAACCCTGAGTATCAGAGGCATTAAACTCTGCTTGGCATCATTAATCTCCTCTTGAAGCCATCATTAATCCAGTCAGCCGCAACCTAGAAAATACACTATCAATATCCCACTGTCCCTAATGAAGACTCGATAGTTTTACACAGCATGGTTCAGTCTGTTTTCAGCTGCTGAGGGAGAAGCGCTTCGGGCTTTCTGAGATCTCACACCGATGTTCTTTTCTTTTTTAATTCATTCAGTTTTTTCCTTTCTTCAAACTATTTTTGCACTTACTTTCCCCACAAAGCCCCGCATGAGAGTGACAGGGACATATTTCACGTAATCGCCAGTGATCAAACAGGCTTAAACACACACACAATAGCAATATTACACTGACAGTTGGCAGAGAAATATGCCACAAAGCCAGATATAATGTGGGCCCTGATTAGGACGTCCAGATGGATGGTTCTTCATTGGACAGTCATGTGACCCAACAGATAAAATTCTATAGGACATAACTGATTGTTACTGGTGTAAAAAAACAAACAAAACAAAATAAAATAAAATATTAGTGCAGTGGTATTATTTTCCAACGAGGTTACAAAAGTTGCAAGTTCAAATCTCTTTTAAATCTCTGCTAGTAAAAAAAATAATAATTAAATCATAAAATTAAAAATATATATGTGACCCTGGACCACAAAACCAGTCTTAAGTGTCAATTTTTCGAATGTCCAAATGAAGTTCTTAGCGATGCATATTACTAATCAAAAATGAAGTTTTGATATATTTATGGTAGGAAATTTACAAAATATCTTCATGGAACATGAGCTTTACTTAATATTCTAATGATTTTTGGCATAAAAGAAAAATCGATAATTTTGACCCATACAATGTATTTTTGGCTATTGCTACAAACATACCCGTGCAATTTAAGACTGGTTTTGTGGTCCAGGGTCACACATATATGAATTCGAAATTGTAAAAAATAAAAAATAAAAAAGCATAATTCTGAATCAAATCAAATTAAACTTTTTTAGAACAGTTGTATTATATTTGCTATGGAATTACAAAGGTTGCAAGTTCAAATCCGCAAAACCTTGCTTATTTTTTAAGTTACAAATGTAATTAAATCATTAAAATAAACAAAACTTTTTAATCAATTAATATAAAACCTTTTCAGTACAGTGGTATTATATTTGCTATAAGGTTACAAAGGTCGCAAGTTCAAATCTCTGCTAGTTAAAAAATTTTAATTAAATTATAAAATAATAATAATAAAAAATAATCCAATACAAATTTGTAACCAAATCAAACCTTTTCAGTGCAGTGGTATTATATGTGCTATGGAGTTGCAAAGGTTGCAAGTTCAAATCTCTGAGAAACTTATAAACTATGATTATTTTTAACAAAGATAAAAGGCAACTGTATATCAGTGAATACATATTAAGAGTCGGTGTCATAAACACTTTGGTGTTGTTGAGTCTAGCCAGGTCTAGTGATGACAGGTCTAGCATCACTTCACATGTACCTTCTATAAAGAATTGTTTTTAGTTCATTAATAAGACTTAAATGTAAAAATCCAGCCTGTGAAATGACCTAAACCTTCAAGCGTATTTTTCTATGTTAATGGAAAACGCACCTTTTCTAATCGGTGGGTTGATCTATGAAGTCTGCGTCACCATCTCCAGTTTTAGATCATGGAGCACTGGTCTCAAAAGGGCACCACATAGGGGTTATGTCACACCTCATCAGAATCCAGTGGTCTCACTTTCACACACAGACACACACAAAGTTCTCCTGCACTAAACACATCCAGCCAATCAGTAACAGACTCACTGCTTATCACTAGTCACCCAACACCTGAACCCGCCACTGTGCGATATAGATGAAACCTGGCAGAGCTGACCTTTACGCAGCAGACGGACCGATTCAAGAGCCAAACAGTCATCTTTACTCACACAACTCTTCAAACAGCACCACCCGATAACCCAAAACCCATCAGCGCGACAACCTCACTCAAACACAGCCAACAATCAGGACTCCTACCTTTGAAAAATACAGAAATCAAGAGCGGCCTGCATTGCTTGCATTTCAAAAGGTCAGGTCTGATCTTCTTTTGATTAAATAGAATGGCCTTGTCTCATAATGAATCGATTTTCTGCTTTCACCAAGTAATGTCTGATTTAATTTGCCCCAGTTTTCTTTAAAAAGCACTGAAGAGGGAAAGACCACGTTTAGCTCGAGCTTTGATTTCAAGGCTAAAAAAAGAATAAAGGTAGAGATTTTCACATCAGAGGCAGTTCCTGTTTGACTTAAAATATATTTCAGTGCTTTGGAGGACTCTTCTTTAAAATGTGCAGTGAATGGCTACAGAAATGGGACCTTCAGGGCAAAACAATGTCAAGTAATCAGTTATACATGAAAACCAGTTATTTTCTAGTTTTCTATATAGCCTCTTATAGTCAAAACATATAAAAGGTTGTTTTTTGTAAGTATCAATCACACAACACAACACAACACAACAGACTAGTCGATTATGAAAACACGAAGATTTGCACATCCAGAATTACTAGCAAGGTACCATGGTAAAAACAAAACACGGTAACAGCATGGTACTAGGGTAATGTTTGAAATATCTCACACATTACTGCTAATATTCACTGTGCTGATCCAGTGTTATTTATATTTATTCACTATTATAGTGTTTATTAATATTTTAACTGATCTTTTATAGCATAAATTATTTTTTATTTTAGATTAGTTGTATTAATTTACTAATTTTAGTACTGCAGCATAAACATTTATTTCAGCTAGTTACCAAGGCAACAATTTTTAAGTTTTTCATTTATATATTTGTATATAGTTTTTAGTTAACAATAACAGCACAGTCCTGAACAGGAAGTGTAATTACTGATCCACGCCCATCGTACCTCTTGTGAGGACACCCCTCTGTAGCCAAAATCGTGCAGTTTGGCGTCTAGTCCCTCCAGGCTCCCTGACGTGGCCTTCAGGTGCTTGGCCAGAATCTTTTTGAACTCCCTGGAGATTGTTGCCACGGTGATGGGGTACCACATTTGGACCAGCATCGTCTGCAGGGACAGAATGTACACACAATCACATGTACGTCAGAGAAGAGAAGACCAAAGATGGCTTGTAATTGCGCTCACAATTTTTATGACCCTGACCATTTTAATTGCAACACATTGATCTGTGGCCCCTTTAAGGACGTGCACGTCAGGAACTGACAAAGACAAAGAATTCTGTACTGTTTGTGTGGTTCTACATGTTTTTCTGTTATACATTTTCTCACATCAATACATAAACTGTGCACACTGATTAAGCTGACAGAATGCCAATAAGGCAAATAAGGTTTGGCTTAAATTGTTCATGATATCTTGAATAAAAGGACACCTTTTTAAAGGGGTCATAGAATGCCCATTTTCCACAAGTTGATATGATTCTTTAGGGTCTTAATGAAAAGTCTGTAACAAAGGTAATCCACTGCGTCTTCAGCGGCTCAGATGTCGGGAGTAAACGACGACTGCTGTGTTCATTATTATATCCAACAACAGAACACCTCAATCGCTTAGGAGTCATTCTTGTCTACAACTGCTCCGGTGTCGAAACAATGGTGGACTGATGAGACGCCAGTCTAGTCTGTGCTGAAACGCTACTGTCAATCAAACTATCATGGGAGGGGCCTGTCTGTGTGACGTCACACAGACAGGCATCTGAGATCGGCTTGATTTGAGAAAGGGGTAAAGATTTGAGCAGATAAAAAAAAAAACACTGGGTGGATTTTTATCATTTTAGGGTGGTTGTGTACACACACTGCCAACACACATTTCAGTTCAAACAACTTGTAAAAGTGCATGTAGCATCATATGACCCCTTTAAGGTATTTCCATGTGGTTGACATACTAGTGCATTCACCAGTATCACATTCTGGCCTAATCATAGGCGTAAATGTCATTTCTTCTGCAAGTCGTAGTCATTTAGCAGGCTCTTTTATCCAAAGCAACAACTTACAGTTCATTACAGGGACAATCCACCTGGAGGACCCTGGGATGAAGTGCGCTGCTCAAGGACATCTACATTACATTTACTTAACAGTCGTTTTTATCTAAAGTGACCTATAAATATGGGACATCACTGAGGAAGAGCAATTTATCATACAAGAACCAATAATACTGTACTGTACAGTACTGCAACGTCAAGTTTCAAGAGAACGGCAAAAAAAAAAAAGGTTTGTCTACATAATGACAACAGTAACAGCTGTTGTGAGAGTCTGCAGGGCTGCAGGCCAGGTCAGTGCCTAACGACCTCATGTCCTCACTGACCCCACCAGCCTGTCCAAACCTCCCTCAGTTATTTGGTCCAGGATCAGCGGCTAGGAGCATGCTGGAAATCAAAGCCTGCTGTCATCCTGAACAACAGTATGGCAGAATCATCCAGTATGGAGTAATGTGCCACACCATCAGGTTTACAGACTATGCTGACAGTCAGACATTCTTGGGGGCTTTGTGTTGCTGTTAAGATTGTTGTAACAGAAAAAAAAAGCTTTTGCATCAGATATGACTTCTTTGTATTTAATTCAAACTTGTGCGGTGTCTCAAACAAACAAACAAACAAACAAACATGAATATACGTGGTGATCACATGATCATAAAGGGATCCGTTACTAACGGCCTTCTGAAAGCGCCATTCATGAAGGGAATCAGTGTCTTACTTTGGTATGGAATGACCCTTTGAGTAACATCCCCTTCTTGCTTCTCGTCTTTTAAGGTTGATTAAATGCTGTTTGGACTTAGCCCTTAGATTAGGGTCTGTAAGATTTTTTTTGAACGTTTTTTTAAGTATCTTATGCTCAACAAGGCCAGTGTTGGGGGTAGCGCATTACAAGTAACGTGAGTTACGTAATCAGATTACTTTTTTTCAAGTAACTAGTAAATGAACGCATTACTTTGTAATTTACAAGGAAATATCTGAGTGTCTTTTTCAAATAATTAACGCTAGTTACTTTGTTTTCCCATGTATTGACTGAGAGCTCTCCTGTCCTCACATGAAGAGAAATCAGGAGTAAGTGCAGAGGCGTTGTGTAAACATGATGTTACTGTAGTTCTAGACTAAATGTGAACATGCATTTACTCATCACACTTGCACAAAAACAGATTCAGGATTCCTCAAAATGAATAAAAACTGTGAAATGCAAACTCAGAATATTACACAAACCTGCAATAATTAAATATGTTAAATAACACAAATATCCTTTATGCATTTAATCTCATTTTATTAACCAGTGTCTTTGCTGCTGACTTTCAATGATCCAATTCAACTACACTAATAAGCAAAAATGACTTTAGATAAACATAACATTTGTGTTTCCTTTTTTTTATTGCTGAAAAAAAAAAGAGCCCAGCCCAGATGAAAAAAAAAGTAATGCAAAAGTAACATAACATTACTTTCCATAAAAAGTAACCAAGTAACGCAAAAACGACTTTTTTAGGGAGTAACGCAATATTGTAATACATTACTTTTAAAAGTAACTTTCCCCAACACTGAACAAGGCTGCATTTAATTGATAAAAAATACAGTAGAAACCGTAAAACATGATTAACTTTTTTATTTAAATATTTAAAATGCAATTTATTCCTGTGATGGCAAAGCTGAATTTTCAGCATCATTACTCCAGTCTTCAGTGTCACATGATCCTTCAGAAATCATTCTAATATGCTGATTTGCTGCTCAAGAAACATTTCACCTTATCACCAAACATTTGCACTGTTTAAAATTTTTGTGGAAACCATGATACACTTTTTTTTTTTTATTCTTTTATGGATAAAATTCAAAGGAACATCATTTATTTGAAAGAAGTAATTTGCATCCTTGTTGAATAAAAGTATGAATTTCTTTTTTTTTTAAAAGTAAAAATTCTTTAAAAATTTAACCACAAACTTCTGAACAGTAGTGCATGTATTATTTCATAAATATTTATGTATTTGTGTTCTTCTTATAATTTTTTGAACATAATTTTTGTTCTTATAATTTTTGAAACATTCATTGGGACATCTGCAGAAATTATACTTTTGCATTATCTGCATTGGCTATCTTTTAAAAACTGTTTTAAAAGAAATAAAGGTGAAAGAAGACAAGTAATACCTCAATATAATTGGTGAGCCAGAAGAAATCTGGATCGGTGTTCTCCACAGTGAAAAGAACGTTCCCTCTGGGAATGATCTTTCCCTCGGGAACTGCTTTGATACGGATTGGAAGACGGCCATCATATTTCTGACAACACAATAAGGAAAAAGAAGAAGGCAGGTGGTCGTTATCTCCCGTTGTATTCATCTCCAGAACAAAGTAAGCAGACTTCAGTCATGTAATGGTGAAATATCTGAAAAGAAACTTCGACTTTGATATGAACTTCTGTTTGTACCTCTAAAACTTTCCTCCATCCCTCTTCATCGAACACTGTCTGTTTAAAATGCATCTGATAAAAGACTTTCGCCTCCTGAATCTTTTCCTCCGTGACAACTGCACCTGCAAGATTTATATAAATACATGAGCTCAGAGATATTATGATAAGCCCACATGAAGAAAACAGACTACTTATAGATCTGTATATAAAGCATATGCTCTTTTGAAAATGTCCAATATGTAAACACTAAACTGGCATGCCATTTAATGATACAATGATATGCCCATATAATGTGACAATAAATGCACAGATTTGTTTAGTAAGATATCACATGGCACGTCTCTGTAGTTACAAATTGCAAAGTTTACAACTAGGGATATGCCGGTATCAAATTTTCATGTTGCGATTAATTGCTAATGTTTTTATTACGGTATACGGTATTATCACGATATTGAAATTAAGTTAAAAAAAGTGCTGTCATAATACAGTATAACAGGTTTAATAACTTTTTTCTTATAACAAAAATAACTGAACATTTAAATGCAATAAAGCAATACAGAAAAATGTATAAAGTTAAAAGTTTTACACAGATTAAAGTGCAAAAGAACTATAAAGACCAATAGGTATCACTTTACAATAAGACCTCATTAGTTAACCTTAGTTAATGCATTAACATTCACAATGAGCAATAGCTACATTTGCTACAGAAGTTATTAATCTTTGTTTAAAAAATACAAGTCTTAGTTCATGTTAGCTCATTAAATAACACAGCTGCAACTCTCGATTTTAACATCCTGTTATTAAATATTGGAATACCTAAGATTAATGAATGTTCAGAAGAATTTTTCATTGGCAGTTTGTTAACTAATGAATTAACTAATGTTAACTAATGAAGCCCTAATGTAAAGTGTGACCGAACAATAAAGAATCAAATCACTTTCAAACAATATCTAGGGCATGTTGTAGTCCAGATTAAAATGTTAAAAAAGTTTGAAAATAAATAGCCTATTAAGTCTAAATATTTAAGTATTTGGCGCTGTGATGAACATCATAGCAAATACACAAATCTGAATGGCTGTTTAAATCATTTAAACACGATTCAGAAACAGAAAGTAGTGCAGTTGCTTTGTTTACAGGATTTCTGGGGTAACGGCTGCATTTAAATGAATTATTATTATTATTATTATTATTATTTCTGCAGTTTAGGCCATCTGCTGTCAGAGAGTGAAAGTGCGCTTTCATCCAGAGCGTCTCTCACATGTTCCACCATGTGCTTCTCGTCCACGCTTGTTTACATCAGAGTGCGCATGCATCTTTCACACAGCATACAGCGGTGTTGTGCATTTTGACCAGTTTATGGGAAAAGTATTCTTAAAATGCATTCAAAATTCTGAATAATTTGTAATATATAATTATTCACGGTATTTAGAAGTGCCCACGATAACAATATCGTGCATATTCATTACCGTGATATATCGCATTACCGAATACCGGCACAAGTCTATTTACAACAGCCATGGCTTCAGGGAGAATGCAATACCAGAATAACTGTCTTAAGATTAAATTAAATATTCATCGTGTAAAGAGCCAGTACAAATAGTTTGGCTGGAAAGAAAATCTAAATCAGTGGAGACACATAACAAAACAAAACAAAAACAAATGCTGCCGCTCACACATTGTGTTCATGGTTACAGTCTGAAACACAAACCACAAAATACACACTTTCTTGGTTGGAATACTTAAATAGGAAACTTAAGGGGAATTAGCCTTTTGTAACTAGAATGTTTTTTGGGGACTTAATGTATTCTACTTGTTTTACTTTTTACTCTAACAGGGCTGGCCTGTGTTCATGGCCACTTTTATTAAAAATGAAATGGGTAAAAGCATCAAAATGGCCAAAAATAGACTTCTACTGCATGTGTTAAACCTTGAAGGGATGATGACAGAATTTTCTCACCCTCATGTCATTCCAAACCTGTATGACTTTTTTTCTTTTGTGGAACACAAGAGAATAAATTATAAAAAATGTCTGTGTTTTTTGACCACACAATGAAAGTCAGTTGGGTCCAATGCTGTTTTGGACCCCACTGAGTTTTAATGTATGAACAAAAACAGCTAAAACATTCTTCAAAATATCTTCTTTTGTGTTCCACAAAAGAAAGAAAATCATAAAACATTTGTAATGACATTAAAGAGTGCATGGCTCACAATTATCATTTTTGAGTAAACTTGAGTAAACTGTATGACTTTCTTTCTTCTTAAATCTTACATTTTTAAACTCTTGCAGCTTGTTTTGACTGCATGACTGACTGTCCTTTACCCATTTTTCCATTACCCAATCAGGTGAGTGATATCACATGGAAAAACTCAAAAACAAACAGTACATCCATGTGAGCCAAGTGAAACTTCACAAAAGTTTTGTGATCATTACAGGAGTTACGCAATGATGAAAGTAGTTGGAATTACCTGCTAGGTATTTCTTCAGGAGATACTGGAGGCCAAAAAACACCACCTCGTTAAACTGTGCCCCCTTTTTGCGCCGACACTCGAAATAGGAGTACACCTTACTGACATTGGGTGGGTATTGCTTGTAGTGGGTAATCTGAAAGGAAGACAGCTTTGAGTATTAGAATTGTTTACACACTCAAATTCAGTACATTTATTCATAATACACTACTGTTCAAAAGTTTGGGGCAAGATTTTTTCAATGTTTTTCATTTTCATTTCAAAAAATCAAATCAAGGCTGAATTTATTTGATTGAAAATACAGTAAAACAGTAATATTGTGAAATATTATTACAATTTAAAAGAACTGTTTTCTATTTCCATATATTATATAACGTAATTTATACCTGTGATGGCAAAGCTGAATTTTCAGCAACCATTACTCCAGTCTTAAGTGTCACATGATCCTTCAGAAATCATTTTAATGTGCCGATTTGGTGCTCAAGAAACATTTCTTATTATTATCAAAGTTGAATTTTTTTGACACATTTTCAGGATCCTTTGATGAACAAAGTAAAAAAAAAAAAAACACCATTTATTAACTGTCGCTTCAGATCAATTTAATGCATCCTTGCTGAATAAAAGTCATTAAAAATTAATTAAAAAAAACTGAACACAAACTTCTGAACAGTATTGTACTTCATTATTACATTGAAGACTACAGACCTATTACATCTGTAATGCACAACTGCATCACTTCCACAGTCTTGCTAATCTGTCAACTTCAAGCTGTCCGCATGGATCTCACGGCTTTTCATCAAAGTCTTGTTTACTGTACACTCATACTGTCAAGCTACAGCTGGGGTGAAACAGTGTCTTGATTTACAAGCACAAACCTGCCATTATATCTTGGAAACAAATTGAATATTACAAAGCGTCTGGCGTTTCGGTGCCCTGTGACACAATATCTGCATAAACATCACGTGGCCCCTTTCTTGACCCCCAAAATAGAGGACATAGTTTTGTGTCCTGTCTCCTTCAAAGCAAAAACTAATTAAATATATTTCTATCTGCTACTTAAGAAACAAATAAAGGTCTGTGATGTTCCATTAGTTTGGTTGTCCAACGTGTCCAACATCATTTATCACATCAACCCTGTCAATTAATTTTGCTTATATAAAGAAAAGACAAATAATTTCCATGTGATTTGTAAGAAATGGAAAGACAATCTGCTGTGGAATCTGATGACTTCTTTTTTTATCTTTTGCAAATTCTACATCACCTTTTTGGCAAAATCTGTGCAACAGACTTAAACATAGTCAAATTAAATATGTAAAACTGAGCTGAATTGTACAATACACTCTTATTGGTAATTAAAAGCTTGACCAAATTAGCAACACAATGGCCAGAATAAACACGCAAGGCGTGTAGGATGTGAAACATTTTATGAATGCTAGGTTATCCACATCACAGGAAATCTGCTTAGTTTTCAGTGGAATTCTGAGTGGACCTGAACATCAGTCTAAACCTGACTCACTCATCTATGATACCTGGTACAACCTGTTTAGAGCTAGATAATAGATTTCCGTAATATTTGAGGAGTGTTGGCGTGACATAACAACAGGGCATTCTACATGGCCACGTATCAAAATCTCATAAAACATTTAGTTATCCTATACATTAAATCAAGATCGCATTAACATTTAATTTTTGTTGGGTGAGATTTCAGCATAGATCCAGATGGGACTTGCGGCTGTCTGTTTTGTCAGAGGTCAAAGACTAACGTGAAGCACAAAGATTATAACACAACCTTGGCCATTCAGCATTAGCCAAAATGCAGAATTACAGATGTGAAATTCCTAAATCTGTTGTAAAGATCATTAAAAGGGTCATATGATGCGATTTAAAATTTTCCTTTCTCTTTGGAGTGTTACAAGCTCGTGGTGCATAAAGAAGATCTGTAAAGTTGCACAGACTAAAGTCTCAAATCCAAAGAGATATTCTTTATAAAAGTTAAGAGTCAACCACAACGCACTGAATAGCTGGCCAATCACAGCACACCTCGCTTTTTCAGACCGATGAGCTTTGTAAAAATCGATGGGTTTCAGAAAGGCGGGGCATAGAGGAGAAACAATAATGTACAGTATGTGGAAAATAATGTGTTTTTTTTTACCTTAAACCGCATAAACACATTTAATTACACCAAATACACCAAATAATGTTCTTTTTAGCAGCATCATAAGACCCCTTTAAACCCAGCTAAGGACATTTTATATTTAGAGTCACCTCCCAAGAAGCTTTGAGCATTACATAGTATTACATAATATAAAGATTTTGATTACATCTATAGATTTTGAAAAAGATGCATACGAAATATCAGGTTAAAAATGTTTTTTTGCAAGTGTCTTATTATGTGATATTGGTAGTTTAACCAAATTGTTTTGTAAGACTAAATATATCAAATCATGCTGCTTCATGCATGGTAGTTGCATCTTTTGTTTTACAAGTTTACATATTCCTTATCTGGACCTTTGAAACCGTCAGACTTTAAAAGTGATATTAAACAGCTCTAATCATGTGACTATTTACAACAGCTTTACAAAAAGTTCACATAAAAACAATATACTCAGAACTTTCATTTAAAGTTAATAACTCGTAACTTAACACGTAACTTCTGATTACTGATATTTTACAGGTGGGGTTAAATGGGTTAAAGTCCACTGTTACTGTATGACTGACTGGATTTCTAGACTGTGATGTTTAGTTATTTAGATTATATTTAAGCTTACAGGGACAGTACATGTACAACATGTAGTCCTTTTGAATAAGGATGTTTTTATTATTAAACAAAACTATGTGGTTTTCTAAAAAATGAGTTACGTGACGTCACGCGCTGTGGCCTTCGGCGAAGCTAATGGTGCGTTCAAGTCATGTCGGATAGATCGTATTTACGAGTTACGAGCACATGAACGCCACCACAAAGTCGTTATTACGAGTGGGAAACTCGAAATTTTCATTAAGCCCCGAGTTTCCGAGTTGGGGGCGTGTTAATGAGAAACATGGATCGATGGATGCACTTCAGGGATCTTATCTATGCACAATCAGCTTGTAACACTCCAAAGAGAAAGGAAGACTAGAAATCGCATCATATGACCCCTTTAAAAGAAGCTACACCGCCATCTTGTGCCGACTAAACTGACTTGAACGCACCTGACGTCGTAATTACGACTTGTCAACTCGTAAGTACGAACGTCCCAGGAGGACTTAAACGCAGCATTAAAGCTGCACGAGGTCATTTCGTATAAGCCCTGCCTCCCGCGCTCGGCGTTCAATGAGTGGGGCATTTAAAACGAACCCGAGCTTACACCGATTCCCTTCAACAAAACGAGAAGAAAAAACAATAGCCGCGATTTAGCCACATCTGTAGATTATTCGGAATCATGGTTTCATTTACATTTAATCGATTCACAAGGTCAAAGTTGGTTTTATCCGCACATATAACGCTACGTGACGACTGAAGCACAAAGGGCTACTGCCAGAACAGGCAAAGTGCTGTCATGCGTCTCCGTGTTTCTGTTATTGAACCGCTCGAGCCAGCTGATTCTTACCTTATAAGAGTCCGTCGCAAGTAAAAAATTGAAATCCTGAGCTGCCATCATCGAGGACAAAGTAAAAGCGAAACGTTGTCGCTTCTCTCCGCTATGTATGTGATCCGAGCCGCGTCACCGGTCTCTATAACCTTCTTTTCTATACCTTTCGGGTATGCCAGAAGAAAATGTAGTGAAATACGATCACCTCAGTATCTTGTATATGTGAGGGCGCGCACGGATAGGTCGCATCGTTCAATATCACACACAACGGGTGGAAAGGGGGCGGAGTCAGGCTAGACTTATGAAAGAGACGTGGGCTACGTTTGTTGATGCAAAGGTGGGCGGGGACATAAACTCAGAAAGCGCCCGACTATCCGAAACTTGAAAAAGCTGCTTTGCTGCCTGTTGCGTTCAAAGGCCGAAGTTTCGGTTTCTTGTAAAGGGTAATTAAACTACGGACGGGACGTGGCATTTTTAGACGAACTTTTAGTTTTGCTTTCCTTTAAAAATTAAGTAAGCTTTAACCAATATAAGAATATGCTGGTTTTGTCTTGGCTAATTTTAGAGAGCTTTTGGACACTTAATTGGTTCGCCAGGTTAGGAGAGCATCTCTGAGATCAACAAAACCTTTAGGCTAATCTAATTTTTATGTAATCTTTATTAATTGTAGATAGTAAAAAGTGAATACTGATCCAGCAGATCTACATGAGATATATAATTTACATTGGAAAAACTGCCTCAAGCAGACATATCTAATCTCTTTTCATATCACAAAAGCTTTTAAAAACAACACCGCCTTTGTAGGAAACAGTACCATAGTGATTAACATTAAAAAAGATGCAATTAAGCTGAGAGTCATTCAGAGAATTTGTTGATATTCAGTATGCTTAGTCCGCATCAAATAAAATATTATAAAGATTCTAGTGTTTTAATCATCAGTCATGATGTCAATGTTTAGGCCAACCCAGAGGGTTCAGAAACTTTCTTCTCATAAATGAGTTTTCATTTATGAGTAAAATAAAGTGTGTGGTTAACATTACTTGAATTACACCAAAAAAATTCAGTCATACCCCCAACATGCATTTTTAAGCTGCTGTGTTTTTAAAAATGACAAATTTTAAAAGAACTTCAATAGTTGTACAATTAATCAAGCAGGTAAACACACATCAGTGTTGTAATTTTATTTAGTATCCAAAAATATCACGGTTTCACTATATTGCGGTTACAGCTCTAAATTGTGTTATTTGTAAATGTCTGGGTAAAAAACAACTTTTTTCCACTGAACACAATATATTTTATTTTTAAGCAACATACAAAATATTTGGTGTATCTCTAATACACTATCTCTTATCCTCCAATGCAACACTGAAGCATAATAACCATCATTCATCATGTTAACAAACTCACGTGCCCTGGAAACACAAGATGTCAAAGTAAAAATTTCCAGTTATATATTACATATAATTTGGTAGTAAAATGTAAAGTCCTCCACATTGTAAGCGCTATTTATCACTATTTTAGAAGCACTACAATTAAATTGTGCTGTCTGTTACATGGGAAATAGAAGTTTATTTTAAAGAACTGAAGTTCTAAATGTGTAAATAAAGCTCTCTACAAGCTTTACAGCACTTAAAGGATTAGTTCACTTCCAGAATAAAAATTTCCTGATAATTTATTCACCCCCATGTCATCCAAGATGTTCATGTCTTTCTTCAATCGCAAAGAAATTAAGGTTTTTGAGGAAAACGCTGCAGGATTTTTCTTCATATAATGGACTTCAATGGTGGCCAACGGGCTGAAGGTCCAAATTGCAGTTTCAATGCAGCTTCCAATGGCTATAAACGATCCCAGCTGAGGAATAAGGGTCTTATCTAGCGAAATGATTGGTCATTTTCTTAAAAAAAATAAAAATTAATATACTTTTTAACCACAAATGCTCGTCTTGCACTAGCTCGACTTCACGCATTACGTTGGAAAGGTCACGTGTGATGTAGGCGGAAGTACGGACCCAGTGTTTACAAAGCGAATGTGCAAAGAAAGTCAAACGCCCTTTACAAAAAAAGGTAAAACAACGATGTCAGACGATTTTGAAGCTGGAGCAGAAAATGAGATGGACGCGCACGGAGCTAGTGCAAGCCGTGCATTTGTGGTTAAAACCAGTTTTTTTTTTTAAGACACTTATTCCTCGGCTGGGATCGTGTAGAGCCCTTCGAAGCTGCACTGAAACCGCAATTTGGACCTTCAACCCGTGTGGCCACCATTGTATGGAGAAAAATCCTGGAATGTTTTCCTAAAAAAACTTAATTTCTTTGCAGCTGAAGAAAGAAAGACATGAACATCTTGGAGGACATGGGGGTGAGTAAATGATCAGGAAATTTTTTATTCTGGAAGTGAACTAATCCTTTAAATTGTTTGTCCTATTGGGTAATCAAAATACACATTTGTGGTCTACACACCTATTTTAACACTTGGGCTAAATACCAGAAATATGTCATACAGACAAGTGGTCAAGTTCAAAGAGTGCAAGTGTGGGTTTTGGAACAGGCCCAGTGACTGCTTAAACATAAAATAACAGAGGTGGGACCAAGTCATTGTTTTGCAAGTCACAAGTAAGTCTCGAGTCTTCGCATTCAATTCTCGAGTCAAGTCCCGAGTCAAGACAGGCAAGTCCAAGTCGAGTTGCAAGTCCTCAGCTTTAAGATTCAAGTCTTAAACAAGTCATTAGTGCTTTTTGCCCAAATTAGTGTCTCAGTATTAATTACCATATCAAATTCATAGTAATTTATATCAGGAAGGCAGGTAGAATATTTGACATAGTTCAATTTCATGTGAGATGGGTGCCCTTAGTAAAACTACTCAAGTTCAAATTAGGGATTGTGCCAAAATAGGATAAGATGTAAACTATTTTATTAGTAACATAACAGAATAGCAAAGACAACATAATTTCATAGAAATAACAGCTGCAACATACTTTGCATGTGTGCATAAGAATAAATACTTCTAGGTGTTATATCGAAGCCAATGAGCCATTATTTGGAACCTCAATGAAACAGATTAAAAAATATGTGAGCGGAAACGCAGAAAGAACAGCTTTGAAAGAACTCGAAGAAATAACTGCAAACATACTTTGCAAGTGAGAGGAAACATGCAATATGGATGCAGACAAACTCATGAAGACAATCATTCAAAAATGCTGTGCTACCATCCTTTATAACTAAGAATAACAAAGACAAAATCCTTTAATAGAAAAAAATGTTGTGTTAAATGTTAAGTTTATAATATGCATAGTTGATCGGAGCGCTTTTCACGAGCGGAGATCGCTACTAGACGAATCATGTCATTTTTTTTAATTTTATTTTTTTATTATTTTTTATCTCTGTTCTTTTGTCGTGAGTTATGCTATTACTCCATTAATTTATACTAGCCTATCCAGCGCTCCCTGAACGCAGTCTCTGGCTTATTGCCAGTCAAGCGCAACGCTGCAGGGACGCGTCTATAACGACTTTGATCTGATCATAAAGTCTTTCCGAGTCACAGGGCTCAAGTCCAAGTCAAGTCTCGAGTCCTTGCTGTCAAAGTCTAAGTCGAGTCGCAAGTCATCAAATTTGGGACTCGAGTTCAAGTCTCAAGTCAAGTGACTCGAGTCCACACCCCTGTAAAATAATATAAAATATAGTAGAAATGACAAATACATTCATTTCAATTTAAATGGATGGAAACAAATTTACTATAATGACTGTTTTTATACAGTGTTACTGTTTAGCCTATGTTTTCATTACCAGTGATGCCAAATATGGAATCATTTCACAACTGGTTTGGAAACCAGTATGAAAAAACACAAAAACAGACAACAACGCAGCTGGATTAGCCTAAGTAAAATCAATAAAAAGGAACTCGTGGATAAATTCCTAAAGTTCTATACTCTAATACGAGAAACACAAAATTGGTTGTCTAATGTTTCAGGAACTGCTGTAGTTGTTAACGGTCGATTAAGCGTGGTGAATATCGTGAGCGAGAGAAACAGCGATAGTGGCTGTCACGGAAACCACGTCAATGAGCCCCTCCCCCTACAGCTTCAGTTCAGAACCACGGTCAGCTCTCAGCGCGTGCTGCTCTCATTGTCAGTATATTGTCGGTACCATTCGGTACTAAATTGAAAGACTGCCGGAGGAAACCAGCAAAACAGCAGCCGTGAATTGTTTTTCCGACCCTCCCCGTGTTATCTTCCATTAAATCAGGCTATGGTAAACGGAGAGTTAAACGAAGAAAACACGTAAGCAGCAACAATTTAATTCGGTGGACGACTACTGGCTGTTGGAGCATCTTTTTTACTCGCGCTGAGGGTAAGTGACACTTTTGATGTCGCGTTTGGATTGTAGGCTGTGGAAAAATAAGCGTCTTCCGTACTTTTTCGTCCTCTGAAGCGAGTTACAGATGTTTTGTTACTAAAAAAGACGCCACTTGATTTGTCTCTTTTGATTTCAGAGAAGCAAGAACGTGCATTAAAATGTTGGACCCATCATCCAGCGAGGAGGAGACGGATGAGGTTGTGGAAGAAGAGCGCAAAGTGGTGGCGGCGCCCAAGGCTGGTGGTCCTCGGGTGTCTCCAAGCAGGACCAGCGAAAGCTCTGGTGGGTTACAGCCAAGCCGAAGCGCTAATACCCGACCTACGAGCCCGAGCCCCTCAGTGGCGATCGAGAAGGAAAAGGATGATTTGGAAAAGATGCAAAGGGAGGAAGAGGAGAGAAAGAAGAGGCTTCAGCTTTACGTCTTTGTGATGCGCTGTATTGCCTACCCGTTTAATGCGAAGCAGCCGACCGACATGGCGAGACGACAGCAAAAGGTAAGAGGGCAAAGTCACATGCAACAGATTGCTGATGAAATGAAGAATTGGTGAGCAGCACTCTTCTGGCTGTGCAAAAACACAATTGTAGCATGTAGTAGAGATGATTGATTGAGTCCTTAATCAACATAAAATGCATCAGGAAATTAATGTATTCCTATTTTCCAATGCAATAGAACTCAAAATTAGTCTTTAATTTTTAATTTCAGAGTTGTATCTCAA